GCTGGGCGCCCGCGCGCCGAACCACCCGCGCAGCAAAAGTTCGCAGTTGGCGCCCGCGAGGGCGCTCGCGCGCGCGCAGAAGCGCACACGAGGCGCGTTCCGGGCGCTCGGTTGCCGACTGCGCCCGAAAGAGCGCACAGCGGCCCAGATTCGCAATCCCCCTCCCCCTTGCACATACCATGCGTGCGTGAAAGCAGACCTGTCTGCGCACTGGTGCAGTCGGGGGCGCCCGCGCGATTCCGAGTTGAGGCCTCCTGATCACGCTGCGGTCGCACGAGCGAGAGCGCACGCAGACGTGCAACCTGGGCGCTCGCGAGCCCGGATGCGCGCGTCGATGCCGAATGGGCCGACAGGCACTTGGCCAGTGGCCCTCTCGCGAGCGAGCGGCGATCGGACGTTGGGCGCACCTGACATCGCGCAAAACTGCGAAGCGGGGATTTATCCATATCCGCCGCATGGGAGCCGACGTCCTGGTGCCCCGGCGGGCGGTGGATACGGATACAGCTTGGCCCCCGGGGGGGCCCGAATCTGTCCACATCCACCGGCTGCCGAGGTCCTCGGAAATCGAGATTTCCAGGGGGTGGTCATCGATGGACTCCCGCCTCGGAAAAAGGCAGTTCCCGCATGTGCGCCGTGCGTTCGGCGGAGTGCCACCAACTAGACCGCTCCTGAGAGGACGGGGCTCTCGGAATATTCCGGTCGGGTCCAGTCTGGCGGCGCCTGGCCTCCCGCTCACCCCACCGTGGCGGGGGAGCGGCGGAGCGTCACCGGCGGAGCGTGCCCGCAGAGATGCTCATCGCCTCCCAGTGGCGTAGCGATTTGGGGGGTCAGGAGCACTTTTGCAGGGCAGGTCACTGGTTGTCCCTTAGCTTCGACGCCGCGTGGCTTCCTGGTCTCGCCTGGCCTCGTGCCCTGCCGTGCACTCCCGGCCTGGGCTCCTCTGTAGCTCGGCGCGTCCGTGTCTTCTCATGGCCAGACTTTCCTCCTCACGGCCGCAGCAAACGCATCCTCCCTTTCCATGGGTGCTTGGCTTGGAACGGCGAGAGTTGGCCTGGCGTCGCTGCGGGCTCGCCCGTTGGTTGGTTGGTTGGCTGGTTGGTTGGCTGATTGGCTGGCAATCGCCGGTGCGTGACTGGCGCCGCGCAACGGGCTCGCAAGGCTGTGCGTTGCCGCTGCTTCCAGCCATGGGCGACAAGGGTACTGCAGCGCACACGGTTCGGCGCAGGTGTTGTTCGAAACCCACCCTCAACCACCCCGTCTGTTTCGCGTTTGTGCTGGTTCGGCGCTCCTGCCAGATGGGCCCTTGGAATATTCCAGTCGGGCCCAGTCTGGCGCGGGAACGTCGGAGCGTCACTGGTGGGGTGTGGCCGCAGAGGTGTTCCAAGCGGGTGGCCTCTGGAGGCCCGCGTCGGGCCCAGGGACGACAATGAGTGAAGGCCGACCCCAGGAGGACGAGGACGGGAGCTGAGCAGGAAGCCACACGCGAACCCGGCCCCTGCAGGTCAGATTTCTGAGACGCCGACTGGCGTTCAGGATTCGAGAGATCAGCCAAGTGAACCCCGGCGGGGGTGTACCGTCGGATCCAGGACAGACAACCATCCTTCAAGGACATGCGACCCTCCTCCGGTTGAAACTGAAGGAGATTCGACGGTGCACCCCCCCTCTCCTAGGATGCACAAGAATGTCCAACAGGCACGAAGAACACCAGGGTACCCTCCCAGAACCGACCTCGATCTCATACCTCGGTCCGACTGTAGTCGATTGGACCCAGAGGGAGGAGGAGGAGGAGGAGGAGGAGGAGGAGCAGGAGGAGGAGGAGGAGCAGGAGGAGGAGGAGGGAGAGGGAAGAGGGAGGGAGGAAGGGAAAGGGAGGCGGGACCGCTCAGGGAGAGAGGACGGGGGATGAGTGACAGAGGAGGGGAAGAGGGAGAGAGGGACGAGAGCGAGAGGTAGATAAGAGACGGGAGGTACGAGAGGGGACAAAAGGATCAGTGAGAGAGATGAGAGAAGCTGGAGAACGGAAGAGAGAGGGGGGAAAAGCGGAGGGTAGAGGGAGGGTAATGGAAGACGATGAGGAGAGGCGCACAGGACAACATGACGCGCCTGGCTTGCCCTGACCGGCAGGACCTAGCTAGGAGGATGGAACACGTGTGCGGGGGGGGGGTGTGCTGCTCAAGCAATCGTGCGAACTCGTTCTGCTCGTAAGAGCGCCTGCTCGCGTCCGAGTCTGGCAAGCACGTGACCGCCGACATGCTGACAAACTCACGAAACACACGGGAGCGCATCTACCCCTGGCGTCAGAATACATCTCTCTCTCTCTCTCTTTCTTTCGTTCTCTCATACTCTCTCCCTCTATCTCTCCCTCTTCCAGCCCTCGTAATCGTCGTCGAAAACAAGTTGCTCATTCTGCGAGCACTCGTGCCTGCAGTCTGCACGGCAAACCTGCCCTCACACATTCCTTCTCTCTGGCTCTCCCTACTCGTTGTCTCCTTTTTTGTTTTTGTCTTGTTCTCTCTCTCTCTCTCTCACCGCCCTTCTGCCTTCACGCCAAATTCCGCAGCGCGCGAAATCAAGTACACGCGGCCTCAGCCGCTCTCCCCCCGCCTCCTCCATGCCCCTCTACGTGGCGATCGCACGCGTGCGGCGGTGCGCCCCGCAGCTGACGGCCGCGACAGGAGGTCGGCAGGCAGCTCCGAGGCACCGATGAAGTGGCAGCGGAGTGCCAGACCCGAAGGGGGGGGAGCAGGCAAGCAGGAGGGGGGAGCAAGGACCCCGAGAGGCCGAGAGCACCGACGGAGCAGCCCGGCAGGCCACGAGCGTGGACCTCAGTGGTCCTCGGACGCGGCAGGGCCATCGTTGACCGCTTTCCAAGAGTCCCGATCACGAGAGCACAGGCGTGCTCGCCGAAACAGAAGCAAACTGCTCCGGGATGGAAGCCGAAGCTGGAACAGGCAAGAAAGCGGCGACGGAACTGGACAAGCAAAAAAACGAGCGCCGGAACCGGGAGGGACACGGCACGACGAGCACGGCAAAAAGAGAAACGGCCCTGTCGTTCCCGAGAACCACCACGTAACGCGTGGACGCAGTGCGCCAGCAGAGAGGCCAAGAGGTGGCCTCCAGTTGGCCAGGGCCGCCCCGCACGGAGCGGCCCCGACAGCCCGGGGCAGGAAGGGGACAAAAGAGTGGAACCCCTTCGTTTTCGACCCAGGAGTCGTAGCACGCAGGCTGAGGCTGTAAGCTTGTCCAAGTGACTAAGAGTAGCCCCGGCTTCTCACAAGGACAATCTGACTTACTGCCCCCGGGTGCTCGATTCGGAGTCTTCGCCGAGTCTGGCCGAGCTGTGGAGCAGCCGTCCACTTCCCTTCCTCGGGGAGCTGGACGCCTCCTGGTTCGTCGGTCGCCGTCGCCGTCGCCGTCCTTGCAAGCACCAGATGCGGCGTTGCGCTGAATACCGAGGCTTCCTCCGCCCTCCCTCATCCTCCAATAAGGGGACAAAGAAGAGGAACCCCTTTTTTCGATCCCGTGTTCGCCCCCCCCCTTTCCCCCCAGGCGCAAAATTGGCGTCCGGCCTGCCAGAGGCCCTGGGAGGGTCATTTTTGTTTGTCCTCTCGAGCCTGTGCTCACGAGCGCCCAGGGTAAACTTTGAACAGAGGGGAGGACGAGGGGAGCGGAGCCAAGGGTTCCGCTGTTCTGTCCATCCACGGAAGGACCACCCTGTCCCGCCAAAAGTTGTCCCGGAACGGCAGCAGGGGCCCCGCGGACCCGAGGACGGTCTGAAGCAGAGCCACCAGGGCCCCTTCCATCGCGCCCTCGCGCTGCGCGAAAAGCGCGAAGCACTTCGCGCTCTCGCGCCGAATCCCCAGGGGAGAACAGAACAACTAGGAAGCGGAGCCGCACCGCGAAGCGCAAGCAGCCCGTGCCCTCGAGGGCGCCCTCGAGCCAAGACGGCCCCCAACGCGCGCCCCGAACGGCTCGGGACGGCACCGAGGATTGCAAACAAACGAAGGATTGCAAAAAAAAAAAACCCTTCAAAAAAAACGAAGGTTTTTTGCAATCCTTCGTTTTTTTGCAAGCCTTCGCCCCGAGGAGAGCCCCAGGACGTCGCAAGAGGCGGCCTCAGGAGATGCCCTCCGGGGCCCGGCCGCCCGGGAGAGCGCGCGCCCGCCCGGAGCGGGCGGCGGGGGGGGGGTCGAGGCGGCCCCGGGGGGGCGCCTGCTGGGGCCGTGGGCTGGGCGTCGCCTGACAGGGGGGCGACACATAATCCACCCGTAAAATGAGCACACCACGCGAAATGGTTAAGAAATCATGGGTGCAGAAATTCATGGTCTCAGAACTTGAATACAAAACCCAAAAATTCCATCAACATCTTAGGATGTACATTGAAACGTTAAGAATAATCGAGACTCTGGCCGAAAACTTCAGTTTTCTTAAGCATCGCCTAAGGTGTACACGCGATAATTAAGGGTGCAGGGGCCTTGGAAGGCCACGTCGACACTGTGCGAGCGGGGCGCGGCCAGCGAAAGCGGCCAAGGATGGGCCGACAGGGAAGGATGCGAAGGGTGACCTTGGAAGGTCGCTCATCCTTACCATGCGGGTTGACTGTGATGAGGGGGCGCTCAATGGGGGGGGCGTGAGGCCCTGGAGGCCCCCTCTTGGGCCCTCAAGGTCCCTTTCACAGGGGCCCTCAAGGGCAGCCCTCGCTGCACCCCCCATGTTTCGCGCCGCCCCCTTTTAAGCGATGCCCGAATGGGGCTGCGAGTGCGCAGCCCCGGGTCACGGCCAGTGGCCGCAGTTCGGCGGCGGGCAAGGGGGGGGGAGTGAGAAGTCGGGACTTCTCAGAAGCCATCGCGCCTTCTCAGAAGTTTTCAGTGTCTTCGAGGGAAGCTCAGAAACGTCTCGGAAGGCCAGGGGATTTCCAAACCTTCTGCGAAGGCCTCCTCCGCCTCACTTCCCCCCCTCGCTCGCCGCCGAGGTGCGCAACCTTGGGTCATGGCGGATGGCCGAAGGATGGCAGCGCCTCTCCCCAGGGCAGTGGCTCTATCGAGCGGCTCGGCAAAGCGCGCGTGCCAGGCATGCCACTGCACGACAAAGACCACATGTCGGCGGCACTCGGAGCACGGCACGGCCATGGCACGGCGCAAGTGCGAGTGCTTCGCGTGGTTTGTTTTCGCACGCTCCGCGAAGGCGTCGGGATGCCACTCACCGACAGGGCCTAGCTCGAGCATCGCCTACACAGGCGTAACATTCGTCTGCAACGATGACTGTGTGCGACCGTGCCGCTGCCTTGTTGCGTTGCGGGTCAGCGGCAATTGGGGGGATCAAGTTATGGCTCCGAATTCGATACAGGTGAAAGGACATCACGATGGCCTCCACCACCTGTGATGTGCTTCGCGTAGTTTGCGCATAACTGGAACAAACTTTTTTAACGTCGTGCAGAGCCCCTGCTGATTACGCGGGCCAAGGAAGCACGGGCGCCATAAATGACAGCGAGAGGCGTCACGGGCGTGGCCTGGACACGCCAGGGTCGCTCCGCCGATCTGAGCCCCGAAACCTGCAAACGAGGAGAGGGACGGAGAGAAGCAGGCCACGCACGTCAAAAACGCACTGCCACCAGGAAATAAAACAGTGGCTGCTAGCTGCTTCGCGATTGGCTCCGCGAGGGCGGATGAAGCGGTTGATCTCTCTACCTCCACCTCCGCTCTTCCATCACAGCAGCCTCCACCACAAGTGGCAAGCGGGGGAATGCGCTCGTGATTACATACATGGCAGCCTAGCCGCGTGAGCTTCGGCAATCGCCTAGGACTCCTCCATGGGGGCTGCCCACTGGCCCCCTTGGCCGTAACCATCAATGATGAACCCATCTGTGTCAGCTTTCGCTTCTGGGCGTGTTGCTTCTTCTGTCTCCTGCTTCCGTATTCCAGAGGATGTCCCTACGTCTCGAGCTTGCCCGTGCGCTTCAGGTGCTGCTAGATCTCCCCCAGTAGTGACAGGTCCGCCAGGCCTCCTGGAGCCATCGGCACTCTCGGCGTTGAACCCCTCCCGGATCTCGGCTCCGGCCTCTTCCTTGACCTCGCCTCTGGGCGCCTCCCGGGCCTCGACCTCGGGCGCCTCCTGAGCCCTGCTCTCGGGCACCTCCTGGCCCTCGCCTTGGGGCGCCTCCCGGGCCTCGCCTCCGGGCGCCTCCGGGGCCTCGACCTCGGGCGCCTCCTGGACCTCGGCCTTGGGCGCCTCCAGGGAGGTTGTGGGCGGCGCCGTCGCCACCCACACACGAGGCGGATGCTCCACGGGCGCCGTCGTGTGCACGAAGTCCACGTCCTTCGCATCCTGGGCATGCTGCAGCTGCTCCACGAGGGTGGAGCAGGGCCTGCCGCACCCGCCCTTGCCCATGCCGTGGAGGATCCCTTGGATCTGCTTGAAGTTGCGCTCCCGGGAGGCCGAGCGGCGGAACGCCGTGAACCACTCCGGGTGCTCCTATGCACACGTGCGCACAGAGCCTGGCCGGGCCCATCCTGGGGCCCGGGTCGGTGCACACGACGACGACGACGACGACGACGACGACGACGACGACGACGACGACGACGACGACGACGACGACGACGACGACGACGACGACGACTCGTTCGGCCGCCGTGGGAGCTCTCGCCGCGCGGGCCCCTGTGCGCGCTGCCCCCGCCTCGGCTCCACCTCGAGCAATGAATGCCCCACCGTCCCTCTGCCAGGGCCAGGAGCAGTATATCTGTGCACAGTTCCCCTGCGCCCCCAATCAAGCCACCCCAGCCCAACCCGAAGTCCCCAGTGGGCTCGTCGATCTCCAGTGGGGGGTGGGGGCGCTCCAGAGAACAACGAGGAGACACCTGTGGAACCCGCATGCGCCCCCCGACCCGGAAGTTGGGGCGGCCTGGGGCCTTCGGGTGGGGTGGGGTGGGGGGGTCGGGGTGTATTGGCAAGTGGTGCCCATCCTCGAGGCCCTCCTCGAGGCACCACGTCACGAGCCCGTGGCACTTGTCCCCCTCCTCGGCGTCCAGGCAACCTGAACGGGGCCCAGGGACACACAAAGAAACAGACACCATCCCCAGGATCCCTCACCTTTTCCCAGATGTCCGATTCCGAAAACCCCGTACCCAACAACGTTGTCATGTCTTGGGGAACATGTTTTACTCCAACCGCCTTCAGCCGAGCTTTCGCCGGCTTCCGCCGGCTTCCGCCGGCTTCCGCGGCCTCGGTTTACTTCTGCCGACCTGCCGCCGACCTTCCGCCGCCTTCCGCCGCGGAGGAGATGACAACTCCTTCGACCCTCGAATGCGAGGCCCTTTCTGCAGCGCCCCACATGCTCTGGACCTTCGTCTTCCCCTCCGCTTCCCAGATCTTCCCACATTCTCGGGAACATCTGCGATTCTAACTGTGTCTGCGTGTTCTCTCCCTCCGGGCAGCCGTCGTCCGGGTTCGACCGTGGGCCGCCACCGCTGGCCCGGTCCAAGGCCGCGGGGGGCGCCTGCCACAGCCCCGCCGCGCCGCGCCCGCTGCTCCAGCCGCGCCCCGCCGCCACGTCGAGCGAGACGCCCCGGCACGGGAGGAGTGCGGGCCAGAGCTGCCTCCCCAGGCCCCCCCGAGCAATGAGAAAAGCATGACGGGAGGTTTTTCGCTATCTTCTGCCTTTGGGGACCCTGGCCGGGGTCGACGTTATGAAACAATCATGACGTCGGGGGGCTGGGTCCATACAGTCAAGCCGTATAAGGACGCACGAGGAGGAGGCAAGGGCCACGGAAGGCCACGTCGACACTTTGCGGAGGTGGGCTCGGCCAGCGAACGCGGCCAAAGGTGGGCGGGAGGGGGAAGGATGCCAAGGGTAACGGGTAACCTTGGAAAGTCGTTCATCCTTGCTATGCGGGTTGACTGTACCCGATGCGCCTTGGACTTCCTGGGCAGAGACGCCACAAGGCCGAGGCGAAGCGGATGTGGGCAAACGTCTGGCCTCCAGCGGCCAGTATTTGCTACCCATCTCTTGAAAAGCACGTTCCACTACTCGCAAAAAGTAAGTACTCGCAAATGGCCTGGATCCGCGGCGGTGGATGTACGATCCATGACACTGGGGCAAACCTCGCAACGGAAGTACTCGCACATGGCACTGGGGCAAGCATGTGATTTTGTGATGTCTGCGAGTAGGCGCTTTGCGAGTAGTGGAGCGCGCTCGGTGAACACCCACTGCGCCTCGCGTGGCTGGGGAAGGGGGCCCTGGACTCCAAGACGCAGCGGCTGCGGATGGACACCTGGCCCGCAGGAGGAGGAGGGGCTGCGCAAGCAGCCAGCGCAGCACGCCGAGCGGCGGGCCCGCCATGCGGCCACGGGGGCCCGCGGCGGAATACGTGAGTGTGCTATTCGATCATGGAGGCGATCAGCGGGGCGACCGGCCTGAGCCGAGAGGATGACGGAGGTCGGCCGCGCGCGCGCTGGGGCCAAGAGCGCGGGGCGGCGCACCCGCGCGAGCACCGCGGGGGTGGGCCGCAGCGCGCTTCTACATCCGACAGGAGGACGGAGGAGGGGGAGGGAGGGAGGGAGGGGCAGGAGGCTGAGCGGGCGCGTGCCAGATTCGTTCCCGTGGGCGCGCGGGTGCCGGACGCACGCAGATCGGGCTCCAGCGCAGTGAGGGGCGCAGGGGCGAAGCAGGCAGGCGGCCGCTCCTCTTTCAAAGTGCAATGCCAACGGTGCACCCCCTCACCTCTGTTAAGTCGGGCGTGTCCCTCCACAGGAGGATTCTGGGCGAAAAATGAAAAAAATAAAGAATGCCCCTAAAATGGGCAAAAATAGTAAAAACAAAAAAAAATGTCCCCTAACTATTTTTTGACTATTTTTGAATATCCCCCCCTGTAGAGGGACAGGCCCGACTTAACACTTCTGACGTCGGACAAGGCAAACTTACGGTGCAGATCGCACTCCGAGAGGAACGCCGAGCATCATATCGACCCTGTCGTGAGTGCTCGCGCGAAGCAGAACGTAAAATTTAAAGTGGCTGGGACTGGCTGGGGGTGCCCGTGCACTCTCTCTCCTGTCTGCCTCCTCGCTCTCTCTCTCTCTCTCTCGCTATCTCTTTTTCCGCGGCCCATTTGGGGCTCAAGTTCTCTTTGGGGCCCAGAAGGCCCCAGCCACCTCGCGGGCCCCTTGGGGCGGCTCACAGGGAGCCACACAGTCCGGCGGTGCGATAGCGCGGGGAGCTCACAGGGAGCCACACAGAGCCGGCGAGACCGCGGCCGTATCGGCGAAGCGAAGCGCAGTCGAGTGGGCGGCGCCTAGCGCGGCGTGGGCCCAGAGGATCGTGCCCCAATGACCATCGGGCTTGCCGCGGCCACCACCCTCACGCTGGGTCAGAGGAGCCACACCGACGCTCCCAATGGCAGCGGGCACAGAGGGCGAGGAAGGGTACCTGATCCTGGACATGGTTCAGGGGTTGGTGCAGATCGCAGAGGATCCCAGCGAGGAGGAGGAGGAGGAGGAGGAGGAGGAGGAGATGCTGTCCTCCGCTGAGCGTCAGAAGCGCTGGAGCTGGACTGCTCATGGGAAGGACTCCAGCCTCGCGAACGTGCCGCTGCCGAGGAAGGCCGAATGGCGGCGGCAGCGCGAGAGCCACCAGGTGGCCGAGGACGGCCGGGCGCGGGCGAGGGACGCTCCCCGCCCAGGCCGCCGAGAGTGGCGCCGGCGGGCCGCAAGGGGAGCACGAGCTCGCTGCCGCAGCGAAGTGCGGACGAGGAGCCGCAGGTCCTGCAGAATGAGTTGCAGGAGGGCGAGCATGGGGGCCTCCTAGATGGGGTCTGAGCATCCCTTCGCATGCCGACGGAGAGCGAGATCGACGAGGGCGCCTACGACGTGGCCGATGTCGCGGTTGCCGAGGAGGCTCGACCGGAGGAAACTTCGAGCCCAAGGCGGAGTGAGCAGGAGGCGGCCCGGAGCGCCTGGGGGCCGGTAGCCCCGGAGAAAGTCAATCTGGAGGAGTTGAGGAGGTACAGTCAACCCGTACAATAAGGACGCACGACAAGGATGCAAAGGCCTTGGAAGGCCATGTCGGCACTTTGCGAGCGGGGCGCGGCCAGCGAAAGCGGCCACGGATGGGACGAAGGGGAAGGATATGAGGGTAACCTTGGAAAGTTGCTCATCCTTACTTTGCGGGTTGACTGTATATTTGGCAGGTGGGCCCCGAGGGTGCGGCGGCGCTGGCGGCCCTTCGGAAGAGGCAGGGCTATGAGGCCAGCGGAGTGTCAGGGACGCGCGACTGGTCGGGCGTGCAGATTGACCCAGAGGCCGTGAGCGAGTACAGTAAGAGCTCGACCACAAGCAGCCTTCCACAAGAAGCCCGACCCTGAGACACCAGGACGTCCGTTGATTTTAGCTGTGGGAGCGTCACGCCTTCCATCGCAAAAACATCGAAACCCAGGCGCCCTGGAGGCAAGCAGAATGTCTCTTGGCATTGGTGTGCACTGTACCTGCGGGCGGCCGGCAGCGAGCAGCGCAGCTTCAGCCTGGCCGCGCACATCCAGAAGGCGGCGCAAATACTCGGGGCGCGTGGGGGCTCTCGGGCGGGTCAAGTATGTGGAGGAGCTGAGGCACGTGGCCACCAGGCGCTGATGGCATCGGTAGCCAAAGACACCAAGGGCAGCTACTCTGTCGCCTGGCAGCAGGTGGAACGTCTTCTGCCGCACCCGCGGGAAGAACCCCATCCTGGACGGCCAGACCAAGAAGGAGAAGCGCGACGACGAGGAGGCGCAGGCGCTGCTGCTGTTCCTGGTCCACCCCTGGAAGAACCTCCGCCGCGCGCACGGCACGATTCGCACCAAGCTGCTGGGGGTGTTTGCCCAACATGAATGGCTTGGATGGTGTCGAACGGCATCGAGGGGTTGCAGGGCCCCGAGCGAGAATGTTGCCAATTACTGTTCGGATGCTCGAGAACATCAGCAGGCGGCTGGACCCCAGGGCGGATCCCAACGCCACGGCGTTCTTCTCCCTGAGGATCGGGGAGCATATACGCATACGCGGGCTACTGGGACCATCGCAAGGTGCTGATGGCGGCGAAGTCCAAAGGCGGGTTGGCGCACCACTTCGCGCAGGCCGACAAAGTGGTACTGTGGTTCATGGCGAGCGGGACGGACCAGGTTGGCGCATGTATGGCGAGGAACCATTACCGAGCGGGAGGTGAGATCTGTCCAGTGGGCGGCCGACCAGTAACAGAGGAGGCACTTTCCAGCGATGATTGGAGGAGGGAAGGAAGGAAGCCCACCTCCAATTGGCACGGTGGTCCGATGGCAGCCCAGTGTTCAGGCAGAGGATTCAGAGGGAGCTGCAGCGGGCGGCAGTGGCAGAGGGCTACCCAGCCTCGCAATTCGGCTCCCATTCGCCGAGGATCGGAGAAGCCACGGCGCTGTACTACCGCTACGGCGACACCGAGGTGGTGAAGAGGTGGGGAAGGTGGAACAGCGGCGCATTCCACTGGTACCTGTAGGAGGCCAACGAGACAGCCCAGGCCGTGGCCGCCGCGATGGCCAGGTCGGTCTCCACCCTGCACGTGGGCTGCGACGCGGCGCAGGAGAGGACCTGCAAGAAGGGGAGGTCCAGGGTGAGCCCGGCACAGGGCGAGCCCAGTGGGAGGTCGAGGGCAGCAGGAGAATTGAGAATGAGAGAGCGGCGGCTCCCCAGAGGACTGGGAGGCCTGCCGGTGCGAGGCGTGAGGCACGCAGGGAGCCGGCGGGAGACTGGGCGCGTGCGGCGCCCATACTGGCGGGGAGGAGAGTGAGAGAGAGAGGGAGAGACAGAGAGGGCGCGCGGCGAGAGACACTCTGGCTAGGATCCGAAGTGCGGGCTTGGAGTGAGGCAACGGGTATCTCGGCACCAGGCTGAGGCAGTGAGGGGCGCCACAGGAGTGGTCAGTCTCAGAAGCTGGGCGGGCGAGGGCCTGCACGAGGAGGCGTGCCGTGAGGAGGAGAGGAAGTGCCCGAAGATGCGGCTGTGAGCGTGGCGTGTGAGTTGCCTGAGCTTTCGGGTGGGCAATGAGCCGCGTGGCGACACAATGCGCCTGCCCGATCAGCGGGCAGGCCTGTGACGAGTGGGTACCCCCCCGGCGCTTCTGGGGGAGGCGCCTACGTTCTGCGGCAACGGCCACAAAAACTATTGTGTAATCGTAACAATCAAGAATTTCGGTACCTCTCAGAGGCTGTTTGCACATCCCCCGCTTTCTTCAAACCTCGTCTTGCCAGTCGAACCATCAACACAGCGATGCAACGTGAACGTGCTCATGGCCATCTAATTACCATCTGAACTGAACACCGAAACACATTGCCCGTACTTCGGCCCAAGATCTCGATCACACTTTCGCGTCGGCGGCTAGGCAGAGGGACTGCGCTGGCGAGTAAAAGATGTCGATCACACGAGACGTGTCAAGAAATCTACACCCTGCCCTCTAAGAAGTACTTCATCACGAACGAACTGAGCTGCTTACTCTTAGCTCAATGCCCCTGGCGTGGGACAAGCGGGTCACACAGTCATCCTCAATCCTTCCTCTTCTGCGCTTACTGCCCTCTTCCTCTGCTGCTCCCGCAATAGCGTTCGTCTTCTGGACTGTTCTTGCACTCCTAAGCTGCAGGACGATGCTGACCCTCACTGCCGCATCGGTTGGTACATGTCGGTGCCAGCACTGGCCGCATCGTTGGAAAGGCACGAGGCAGAGCCAGGGAAAGAACGCGGACTCAAAGAGCAGGCGAGGAAAGGACGTTTCCCCACGAGGAAGGGCCTGGTGGCGGTCTCCGCCTTGATCAGCCTGTACACCTCGCAGGCGGGGCGGCCGGAGCAACGCGGGGCACCTGCAACTCCAGGCGTCGTGAGCAAATCGGTTACACGCAGGAGTGACCCCAGGCAAGAATGACATTTGGTGCGCGGCTTTCGGGGGTCCACGGGTCGGGGGGCCACGGAGGGGCCAACCGCAAGCGCGCAAAACGCTGCTATCGCATCGCGTTCGGCGATCGGCAGACTCCAATGGGACCGCATCTAAAATCACTCTGGCGAAGGGTTACTCGTACGTGTAGTCGGGCAAAGCACGGCGCGCGATGTCTCTCGATTTCGGCCAAGGACCTGTCTCCAGACCAAGGGCCGTCAACAGAGCCACGCACGGGCGGCAAAACCGAGCACCCCGCGGGTCCACAGCCGAGGGCCCCGAGGGCCCCGGTCGAGACAAACCCACGCGACGCTGGAGGCCTGGGGTGGGGCAGGCTGCGGGGGAGCTTCAAGAGGAGGAGAGGGAGGAGGGGGGGGAGAAGGAGAAGGAGGGGGAGCAGGCAGGAGGGGAAGGAAGAAGACTTGAGGTAATATGGCTTTGGGGCGCCTGAACCCCGTTAGTGGGCCCAACTCCTTGGTGCCACCATTCTGGCGGGCGCGGTGGCCCCCCCGGGAACAAAATCCTCTGGTGTGCGGCGCGCGCTGGATTCATAAATCCTCTGGTGTGCGGCGCGCCCTGGGTTCATGAATCCCTTGGTGTGCGACGGATGAAGAGAATTCTCTCTGAGGTCTGCGGAGCGTCCTCCGGGCCCCGGGCCGTCTCACCGCAGAGGCGCGCTCGTCGAGGGTCCCGCGGGAGCGCCAAAGGGAAGTCGTCACGAGCGGCGGCCCGTCTTCTGGCCCAAGTGCTCCAAGCTCTCACTGCTGAGCGGATGCGGCGTTTGCCGTCGACGGCCGTCGTCAAGAGTAGGACGAGGAGGACGAGGAGGGGGGAGGAGGGATGATGATGATGAGGAGGAGGATGAGGATGAGGAGGAAGAGAAGGGGATGAGGATGAGGATGGGGATGAGGATGAGGAGGAGGAGAAGGAGGAGGAGGAGGAGGGAGAAGGAAAAAGAGGAGGAGGAGGAGGAGGAGGAGGAAGCGAGTGCGTCAGCATGGCCTGAAGAGGCCCCGTTGGAACCGAGCAGAGTGAAGGGGCCCACCCTGCAAGTTCGGTTAAACCGCACATCGTTGAGCGGTGCTGCAGCCTCGCTTGAGCACAGGCCCCACCCAGAGCATCAGCCAAACAAGTTGGGTTTGCACCCTCATGCCTTGCTGGGCTCTGGGCGCGTTTCGGCACAATCTCCCCCGACCTCGTCAGCGCCACCGACAGGGGAGAGGGCGGCGGTGGCCGACGCGTCCCAAGCCCCGGCCTCTCTGGAGCATCAGCCAGACAAGTCGGGTTTGCACCCTCATGCCTTGCTGGGCCCCATGGGCAGGGCACCATGACGGGACGACGATAAGCAGCAGCAACAGCAAGCAGGAAAGATGCGCGTCAGCATGGGGGCTTGAAGAGGCCCCGCTGGAACCGAAGAGAGAAAAGGGGCCCACCCTGCAGGTTCGGTAAAACCACACATCGTTGAGCGGTGCTGCAGTCTCCCCTGAGCAAAGGCGACCTCAACTCTACATCAAGATCTACAATATAATATGAGCCACAGCGCCAACGAGCTCGCGAACGACCAACACCTACACTGCCAGCCCACCATCACTGGGGGCACTATTATTACATCGGGCTCACTGGGCCCCTGGACATCAAAACACCAACGACTACTACGAGACGTACGGCTTAGCGTCACCCCACTCGCGGCCACCTCAAGAAGAATCCCGAGGACGACATCGGCATGACCACCAAGCCAAGAGGCCGCGCGGTGAGAACCCGCCTTAACGGCGTGTGCCCCGTGCACATGGACTCCATATTACGTCGACAGCGCTACCGGTAAGAACACGCAACGCACATGGCTGTATACAAGGTAATACGTGATCCGCATTACCGCTGTAGCTACGCATGGGTGGGCCGGCCACCAGACCCTGGCCCTACCCCCGTCGCTCCTTTCAGAGTCTCGGAATGCAGGATGGACAAGCGGCCTCCCTTCCCCTCCTCCCGCCTGACATGGAATCTGGGTCTCCCGGAACTCCGGGGGGCTCCGGCGCCGACCGCCCGCAGCGGGCCGTCAGGTGCGCGCGGTGTCTGCACGGCCCTGGGAACTCGCGGAGTCGAGCTGCGGCGGCGGCAGGAAAAGGCACAACCTCAGTGCCCCCAGGAGGGCAATGCCGACCTTGGGGGGCCACGTGTCAAGGGGCCTCGGGTCACCCTACAGCCCTACAGCGACAGAGCCGAGGCAACTCTCAGCGCCGAGCGCGTCCGCCCCGCCACGCCCCGCAGCACCGACGCCTCGAGGCAGTGGAAGAAGGCGTACGCGGGCGGCGAGGGCAGGCGACGACGACGGACAGCAAATGCTACACGGCTAGCTTCGCTCCCGTCTTGGGGTGAAGGCCGCGCTCAATCCTCCTCCCTTGCATCATTTAGTTGGCACGGGTGGAGTGCACAGCTGAGGGGCCACGTCACCGGGCGCTGAGCTTGATCCTTTGTTTTGTTTGCTTTGTCTGTTTTTTTTTTCCGCTGGCGCATCGATGTGAGGAATAAGACGCGTCTCAAGTACAACCGCTTGCGCGGTCTCGGCTCGATCAGAATCACTGGCATCACGGGGGGTCCTGACCTGCTAGATCAGCGCATTCAGCAAAAAGGCGAGAAGCACGCGTCAACAGCCCCACATCGCCGCGGCAGCCAAACCTCAGAGCTGGAGCAAAATCGGAAAGAACTGCAGAATCAAGTCGTCCTCTACCACCACGGGGATCCAAGCGCCAGCCGCCAAAGAGAAGCCTTCAAACTGCACCAACCCCTCCTGCGCGCACTCAGGATGCACGACCGCAGCGTGAGGGGAATCCTCGTGACCACCACGAGTCCCTGGCCAAACATTGGCACACACTGAGGGCGATGAGACGGTACCCAACTCTTGGTTTGAGTCAGAGAAGCAGTGGAGCAAGCAGAAGCACCAGCCACAAGTAATGCGACTCGAACTCCGACACCTGCACGAGAGAACAGCACGACAAGGGCTGGCCGAATGTCATGAAGACTAGTATGTGGATGAGATGTAGTAGGAGCCACAGGCAGAACGCCGCCAACCAGCAGCCGAAGCAGGCCAGCGACCTCTTGGGCTCGAAGCTGGCCATGCCGGAGAAAATGGCGAGAGCCCCGAAGCGCTCGGCCGAGCCTCGGCTAGGTGGAGAAGCCCAGGTGTCACGCCACCCCACCAGCACGGCGCAACAAAACCTTTGGACCGCGATGCGAGCCGCCGCAGCCCGCGACCCAGCCCAGCCGCTCAGGCCGCCCCGCTGGAGGGGTCGCCTGCCCTCTGCTGCGACGCCGCCTGCAGCTGCTCCACCGAGTGGGCCGCCTGCGCGTGCGCCAGCCCTCGCGTGACGGTGTCCCGGCAGCGCCCGGCGATGCCGAGGAGATGATGCAGCTGCGCGTTCGCCCTGAGGTGGACGAGAATGTCGGTGGGCGCGCCCTCCTCCGCGAGCCGGCGCACCTCCCCCAACACCTGGATGTAGGCCGCCCTGCGCTGTGGGCACACGGCCGCCCACCCATACGGAGACCTCCTGTTTGTCGAGGGCGGCGGCGGCGTCTCTTTGGCAGGAGTCGGCCGCGCTCACATGCCGTCGACTCCCATGGAGTCCGCACAGCCTAATCATGGTGCCCATGGGCGCTGAGCTTGATCATGGTGCCCAAACTCCCATGGCGTCCGCACAGCTTGCAGCAACAAAACATGGCCACACCTGACAACGTCGTGGCCGACCTGGAGGACAAGTGGGCGTGACTTGCGAGCAAGAGAGGAGGATGCATATAGGGTGCATAATGCTGATTCCCGTGTTGTCCGTTTGACGCTGTGCCGCTTCAAGGCGCATAATGCTGGTTCCCGTGTTGTCCGTTTGACGCTGTGACACTTTGTCGGGGCGTCTCCGACCATCTCGGAGCCCTGTTGGGCAACCTTCGGGCCCTGGGGCGTCTCCGACGACCATCTCGGGACCGTCTCAAGCAGTCTTGGGGCCCTTCTGGGGGTCTCTGGGGGCTTTCTGGGGACATCTTGGAAGCTTCTTAGGGCCTCTTGGTGGCCTCTTGGGGCCTCCTGGCGGGTTTTTTTGGGTGGAGAACCCAAACTGCCAGTCCGTGCTCCCACTCTGGGGTTCCTCTTGGGGCGTTCCTGGGGCGTTCTTCTTTTGGTTTGCCGTCTTGGAGGCGTCTTGGGCCGTCTTGGAGGCGTCTTGGGCCGTCTGTGCGCTCTCTTGGGGGCGTCTCAGGCCTTTTTGGGGCGATATGTAGGCCTTCTTGGGGCGATCTGTAGGGCCTCTTGGGCCGTCTGGGAGCGTCGGGAAGCCGAAAAGGGGAAACGCGATAAATTCTGAGAAGCCAAAAAGGAAAATCAATGAAGTTTGACTCTTGGGGCTCTTTTGGGGGGCCCTCTTGGAGGCCTCCCGGGGCGTCTTGGGGGCTTCTTGAGCCATTTTGAAGTCATCTTGGACGTCTTGGACCGGTCTTTTGGCGACTCGTGGCCCTCTTGGACCATCTTGCGGACCATCTTGGGGCCGTCCGTGCCGTCTGAAAGCTCGTCTGCCAAGTTGCGGCCGACTTCCGCCGGCTTCCGCCGGCGTTCCGCCCGTGGCCGAGGAGGGAGCTGGGGGGGTATCCCCCAGACCCCCCCAGGGGAACACACAACGGGAACCCCTCCGTAAGGTCGATGAAAAAGAGCGTCCCGTGTTGCGGGAGGTCCTGCTCGTCGTCGTCCTCTTCTCCAGGGACTCGCCCAGATCTGGTTTGTACTGTACAGTTTGACCCACGCTGGCACCTGAGCGTGCCCCTTTCATGTCTCATCAGTATGACGAGTGTCATCCATGACCTGGGGGTCTCCCCGCCCTGCGCACGGACGGGGGCCCGCCAGTGCGGCGGCCGTAGTCTCCCCCTCCTCCTCGGCTGCGAGCTGCCCTGCTGGGGACTTTAGCCATAAACGCAGGAGGCTCTTAGCTTTGATCCGCCCCCCTTTTACTCGGCGGTGAATGGGGCTGGTCCTAAAAACTCCTCCTCCTTCTCCTCCTCCCCCCTCTCCCCCTCCTGCTCCTCCTCCTTCTTCTCCTCCTCCTCCTCCTCCTCCTCCTCCTCGACTTCCCCCCGCCCTGGAGTGGCCTCTAGGCTGCTCCAGGGCGGCAGCGTCTTGACCCCCATGCTGCTTTTCCCTCGGCCCCTGGCCGCGGGCGTCGAGGGCAGAGGCACCCTGTCGCCGACAGCCGCAGCAACGAGGAGGGGGAGGAGGAGGGGGAGGAGGAGGGGGAGGAGGAGGAGGAGGAGGAGGAGGAGTGCGAGCAGCTTGCGGTGAACTCGTCAGTCTTACCTCGGCCGCGCACTGACGCTGCAGACGCAGAGTGATTGCAGCGCTGGAAGACAAGCGGTTCACCGCCACAGGACTGTACGGGCTGCGCTGAGCGCGGAGGCGATTGCGTCTGGCGTCGGCGCTGAATTCAACTTCATTTTGCTGTAAATGAGGAAGGGAAGTGCAAGGAGGAGGAGGAGGAGGAGAAGGAGGAGTAGGAGGAGGAAGGGGAGGAGGAGGAAGGGGAGAGGAGGAAGAGCGGAGCAGGAGATGGTGGGTGGACGCGGACGATGAGGGCGGAGGACGAGGATGGATATAAAATTCGCGGTTTCTGGGGCTCCAACAAAGCAAGCAAAAAGCGTTCAAAACTAGCACATCACGATGCCGCCCTCTTTGCCCTCCTTGTCCTCCCCTCCCCCTTGATGTGTTTACCCATATACACATACGTCCATACATCTATCCACGTAGGCGGAATCGCAAGAAGGTAAACCAATAATCTCAACAATCAATGATAATTCCCTGTTGCCTTTCCCGACTTCGCCGGTATGATATTGGTATTCGTTATCGTTCTCGCATGTTTCCTCTTCAACTTCTTCATTCTCGCCCTACCTTGAATTATTCCCAATCCTCCTCACCGTTTTTGCGGAGGCTCCTCCTTGAAGAGCCTCTTGGAGGCCTCGCAACAATTGTTAAGGCTTCTTGGGGCCTTCTGGAAATGTCCTGGGCGCCTCCTTCTGGGGGCTTCTGGGGGCTTCGTCCGTCCCGATATAAGTTATACAGATGTATGTATCTATATGTATGTTGGTATGTATGTTGGTATGTCTGTCTGTCTGTCTGTCTGCCTGTCTGTCTGTATGTATGTATGTATGCATGTACGTGTGTGCGTATGTATGTATACATGTATGTATGTTCGTGTATGTATGTATGCATGCATGCATGTATGTATGTATGTATGTGTGTATGCATGTATGTATGTGTGTATGTGTGTGTATGTGTGTATGTGTGTATGTGTGTATGTATGTATGTATGTATGTATGTATGTATGTATGTATGTGCGTGTGTGTGAGTGCATGACTATGTAGTTACGTGTGTATGTATGCATGTATGCATGTGATGTAATGCTATGTGGTGCAAAGTGATGCAATGTGATGGAATTGAATGTGTTGCGATGTGATGTGATGTGGCATGATGTGGTGTGATGTAACGCAATGAAAGCAATTCGATGTAGTATGACAGCCCCCGCAATTGCGAATAAGAGTGAGGGGGGGGTCGACGGCGGTTCACGAGGTTCGAACGAACAACTTAAAGAGGCCCGTCCAAGGTGCCGCTTTCTTCTGACATACGTAGCGAGCCCGCCCGTAGCGAGCCTGCCGCAGGCGCATGTTGGTGATATAACATAACAACGTCGGTGGGTCGCGGGGTGGGTCGCGGGTGGGTCGCGGGTGGGTCGTGGGTGGGTCGCGGGTGGGTCGCGGGTGGGTCGTGGGTGTGTCGCGGGCGGGTCGCGGGTGGGTCGCGGGGTGGGTCGCGGGCAGGACGACGACAACAACAACAAGCATAATCTTCACCGCGGATCCCCACTTCAGCCACGCACCCAGGGACAATGTAAGACCTTTCGGCCGTTACTTTGATAATGTACTGCGATGTAAATGTAATGTAGATGTAGTGTGATGTAGCGTAATGGAATGTGGCGTAATGTAATTTAATGTGATGTCCTGTGTTGTGATGTAATGTGATGTGATGTGATGTGGTGCAGCGCGGTGCAATGTGATGTAATGCAATGTAATGTGCTGTGCTATAGTGGAATGCAGTGTAATGCAATGTTGTGTGATGTAAGGCAATGTTACGTGATGACATGCGATGCTCTACAGTATACCCTTATGTGATGAAACTGTCTGGAATGTACAATAGAGTAATGTGATGTAATGTTTTGTGATCTACTGTAACATAACGCATGCAAAGCATACAACGCAATGAAATTCAACACGATTCAATACCATGTCCTGTGCTGCAATGGGATGTATTGTAATAGAGTGTAGTCAGTGTAGTGTGATGTAATGTGGTGCCGTGCGATGTGCAATGCTATGTATAAGTGCGTGTATGTATGTGTGTACGGATGTGTGTATGCACATAGACATGTATCCATACATGCGTGTACATTGGGCGTCATGCTAATATCTATGTATGTGTGCGTGTGTGTGTGAGAGAGAGCACGTCCGTCGCCGAATAGGACAGGGTGGGGAGACCCAGATCTCCGACGTCATGTTTTGTTCAATACGGGTTCCATAGGTCCCCCGCTCTCATGGGGACGGGTTTCTCTAACCTCATGCTTATGCGGACGTCCCTGGGCACCCAGAAACGGTCGCCCGGGAACTGAACATGACATACACCTTCGTCCCAATGCCTTCAGGACTTCGGAGGTCTGGGGGTCAAAAGTCACCCCTCACTCCTGGGATGCTCTCCGACCAGAATTTTGAAGGGAATCCAGGAATGGCAACCGACAACGGCGTCCCCAAGAAGACCACCAACGTCACAAAAGAGCATCAAATTCTCCATGCTCGATCGTAAAATGGGGGTGCGAAGAAGGGAAGGGGGGGAAGTAGGGACGAGGCCAATCAGAAGCCCGTCGGCCAGCCACGGGCCGATGCCCCCCCTGGAGCCGTGATACAGCCCAAACGAGCCCCAGGATGGATTACAAGGATGGGTGACCGAACAAGTCGGGAGTATCCTTGGGCCGAAGAAATAGAAACTGAGGGAGGATGTCCGAGGGGGGGACAGGCAAAGGGGGGCAAGCATGGAGCTGGAATCGGCGACACGTTGCCGATAGATCGGCGATAGGCTCCAGATAACGAGTCCGTACGGGCCTTGGCGGGGTGGGCCGTCGGGCACCTGTCGGCGATCAATGGGCGATGGGGGGTGGATGCACTCGCTGGGCGGACAGAACAGAAACCATGCGAGGGTCCCCTGCTGCAAAGGCTCATCCTTGACGCCAGCTCTGACCGCACAAGGCCCGCGGGCACACGCCTGGCTCACCGTCTCCGACGGGCAGAGGAGCAGCACCAGCTGGGTCTCGGGCTTGACCCTGCCCCCCACCCCTGGCCGCGCACCCGGAGGCCGCCGCGAGGAGCGGAACTCTCCGAGCGGATCCCTGCTCCTCCCTGCGAAACTCCGTCGATCTGTTTTTTCAATCCTGGCGACTAACCCTGGTGAAGCGGCGGGGTCTTCTGGGGCAGCGGATTGATAAGATCATGCCGGCGGATTTCAGGGCCTCCGCCCTCACCCTTTTCCTCATAGATAACTCCTCCCTGTCGCACTCCGCGGCAAATTGAAAAGGGCAGGCCGGGCGACTCGTCCGGGACTCGTCCGGGGCTTCCTCTCCTCCGTATGACCCTGATGCGTAAAAATGGCAGCAGCTTCGCAGGTGGA